AAACAATATCTTTAATAGTCTCTTGGGTTTTAAATGAACAAAAAATATTAATAAAATGGGAAACTTATAGGTTCTGTAAACCCGACTCTCCATCCCGAACCTGAGAGATCCCGACACGCCCCAGTTTAAACTTGAACCCCTGAGCTCCCGGCTGTCGTGGTGGTGGCTGTGGTGGTGCTCGTGGAAAAGGTCGTGGTGATGGAAACTGCAGGAATTTGAGGGTTTAGGGTTCAGGGTTTCGGTTTAGGGTTTAGGGTTGAGGGCTTAGGGTTTAGGGTTTAGGCTTTAAGTTTGAGGGTTTAGGGTTTAGCTATATAACAACCAAGATCTAACACTGCATCTGAGCTACAACAGCGACAAATGCACAAAAACCATCCTCACACGGCGATGAAACAAGCCCAGAGTTTAAAGTGCACGGCCTCCTGGAAGTCCAGGGTTCAGAACCCGAAAACCCTAACCCTAAGTCCTGAACCCTATTCCCTAAACCCTCAACCCTGAACCTTAAACCCTATTCCCTAAACCCTAAACTCTACTCCTGAAATCCTCAACCCTAAACCTTAGACCCTATTCCCTAAACCCTCAACCCTAAAACCTAAACCCCGAAGCCTAGCCCAGAGCACTCGGGCTCGGCAGCTTCCGACTGTCCCGAGGCAGTGCTCTGGGCTTAGGAGTTACAGTAGAAGCCAGAAAGTTGGAATATCATTATCGTAACCCCTTTAAGGTATATCATAGGGGATCCTACCATTAATCCATATTCCAACTTTCTGGAGTTCCCTTTCTGTTTGAACCCCTTTTTGCTTCCCAAATCCGCTCCGCCGCATCTCAGAAAGGAGTCGGGGTTTCGGGCCGTTTAGGGTTTAGGGCTTCGGAATTATGGATTAGCATCCAGAGCTGCTTGGTGTTTAGAGTTAGGGCTGAGGATCGCCTCGATGTAACGTAATAAGGGTCTGAATAGTAAGTAAGCGTATCTTCTCATGGCCTCTCCATCAGAACCGCTTCATTTTACACAAACCGCAGCCTTCAGGCCGCCACATGCAGGTTTCGGGCTCTGAGTGCTCAGGGGATATTCTGATAAGGATCCTTGTGCAGGTTCGTAAAGACAAGGAGCCGCACCTCCCTTCATTTTGTAATGCGCCGAACATCATGATACAAAGCCCGGGCAAGGGCCCCAATTCTTAACAAAATTCCGAGGCACTTGTTGTTGTTTCCGTGCGTGTTGTTCCGGTCAACGTGGTCGTGGTTAACGTTGACGTCTCTGTTAATGTCCCGGTATACGTTGATGTCGCCTGCACAAGTATGGCGCTACTTGTTCCCAAACACAAGGACACTGCAATCAGGAATCTCCACACAAACCTTGCACGAACGAAGTTAAGCTCCGGGCCGAGGTAATCGTGCTGGTAGAGCTAGTGACCGAGGTCTGGGTCACAGACGTTGTAGTTGTCGTCTGGGTGAAGGAAATTGATGTTGTCTGGCTCGTGGTCGTGACACTTGTCGTTAAAGTTCGAGTGGTCGTCGTCGTAGAGGACTGCACGGCACAGAGAATGGCAAAACACACAAGACGACATCCTACAGTACCAGATGGAAAAGAAAGGGGTTTCGCCTCCTCGCCCTCAGACCATACATGCTCTATAAATCCCGGAAATGCAGTCCAAAACCCGCACACTGAACCGAACAACGCAGACCTCACCCAGGTCCTGCGGTATTTCAAGTGCTTCTAAGTCTAGTGGGGAAGGGCTCCTGTGCACCCCATCAGCCCTGGCCTGCAGCCCCCAAGACGCCTAAGTGTAACCCTTGAACCCTAGACCCGAAACCCTAAACCCGAAACCCTTAACCCCATTCCTTAAACCCTAAACCCTAAACCCGAAACCCTTAACCCCATTCCTTAAGCCCGAAACCCTAGACCAGATCCAAGAACTCTAGGGCCCTAGCGGCCCCTAGCTTGGGGAAGTGGGGTCTCGGCTCTCAGGGCAGTAGCAGTCAGTCGTAGTAGGTCGTAGTAGTAAAGAAGTAGTTGTGGTGGTGGTGGTAGTAGTAGTAGTAGTAGTAGTAGTAGTAGTAGTAGTGGTACTGTTATGCACACCATAGTTGCGACCGAGCTGCCGTCACGGATATAGTGGTGGTTTGCGTGACAGATGTGGTAGTTTCTGTCGCAGTGTGAGTCACAGTTGTTGTAGCCGTCGTCGTGACTGAGATGGTGGTGGTCTGGGTGGTGGTCACCTGCATCAGTTAAAGGACTTTTCATCAAGGCCCATGCTCTTAAACTTTGAAACATGTGACCCGAAACCGTTCGCTAGAATGAAGAACTTGCTCATCGAACATGCACTCCGAAATCAGCAAGCATGGCATCGTGTTGCTTACCAAAGGACGGTAACAGTGATGATGACGGTGATGGTGATTCTGATGGTGACGGCGGTGGCGATGGGGGTGGCGACAGTGATGGTGGTGGTGACGCTGGTGGAGTCATGAATGGTGATGGTGACACTGATATTGACATGATGGGCATCGCCATGGTCCATGCCATGGTCACGGTCATGGCGGCGACGGTCAGAGTCATGGTGACACTGACTAGAAAGAACCTTGAGTTTATGATAAGGTGATGGCGGAGATGAGGGGCATAACTTGAAGGTGAACGACCGATGACGACGACAATGCCACGCCCTTGATGGCCCAAGAATCAGAATGAAAGCGCTGACAGTGACCCTCATCCTCGTCCTCCTCTCTTCCGCCTCTATCTCCTTCTCCACACCCCCTTCCTCCTCCCCCTCCTCCTGCCGTCCTCCTGCACTCCTCCTCCTCCAAGCAGGAACCAGAACCAAAAACAACGAATGTGTAGAAACATCCGAACGGCAACAGCAACCGCAAGAAGAACAAGAAGCAGCAAGAAGATGAGAAGGAAGATTTCCCTAAAGTCTCCACGAAGCTGACCTTCTGATTGGCTTAGGGGCATGGTAGGACCTCAGGGTTTCGGACGTTGGTGGCTTTGGGCTTCTACTCAAACAGGCTATATTGGACAGCGGTTTAGGGTTTAGGGTTTAGGGTTTTGGGTTTAGGGTTTAGGGTTTAGGGTTTAGGGTTTAGGGTTTAGGGTTTAGGTCCCACCACTCCCTAAACCCCTAAACCCTACATTGTCAGAAGCCGGCAGGAAACATAACCACGACGGCCGAGAGGCTGTGAAACTGGTTGTCCTGACAGGGGAGTCTAATGGTTTAGGGTTCAAGGCTTAGGGTTTAGGGGTTTAGGTTCAGAAGGAATGTGAAGTCGCTTTCAGCCCTCAACCCTACCATAAACTCGCAGGAAGATGCTTCTTGGGAGCAGAAAACGGGTCAGCTATACTATAGCAGTTTAATGGCAGACCCAACCCAGTCGTCAAGCTAGATATTCGACCATCGTAATCGTGTTGGGGAAATTCCACAGGACAAACTACCAACGAAGCTGCACTGACCATACTGCAAGATGGTCGAAATCATAAACGTCAATTCCACTTGTGTGAGCAAGAAGTTGTGCTGCACTAGCACCGGCACTAGCACTAGTACTAGTCGTTGGTATCGTGACTGTTCTGCAGTAGCGGTACTATGCAGCGGAAAGGTGATACCTTGGCTGGGATATTGGAGAAACAAGCGTCCGAAGTAGAGGATTCCTGCTACTTGTCACGGCCCACAACCATGCATCCGAGACTTTAGCATCTCCAAGGTGCTTTGATGTGGTCATGGAGATGGTTGTTGACGTGGTGGTCGGCAACTTAGTTGCAATACGATCAATAATGATTCGTGAACTCTGACAGGCAGTTTTGTCCCCTGCACCGTCTGTCGGCAAGGGAAATCTTCCTCCCTTCTGAAAGACTGCAAACAAAGGGGGCAAAGGTAGCTGGGGCCGGCACATGCGGCTTGAAGCTTCAGAAACTCGATGCTTGCGAGACCAAGTTGCGCCCCAAGCCCCGGCGTTGCACAAAAAGATATCACGAATACGGTGAACACCAAGCAGACTGGAGGCTTTCTGTCTATCATCGGCTGAACTCTGTTGCGCATATTGCCATGACCGTGCTTGCTACTTATGGCTGTGCTTGCCAAGAACAACGGACACAAACACTCATGTTACGATGGGTGCCATCTTCCTCCTCGGACTGCGAACACGATTCACGCCAGCACCATTGCTACCACCATCGCGACAACAACGACAACACCACCAGCAGCGTCCTGCAGCAGTAGCAACATCAGCAGCAGCAGCAGCGACAACGGCAGCGACAACGGCAGCTGCACGGCAACGGGTATGGCAACGGCAAGTGGCAACGACAACAGCAACCGCAACAACAACCTCGACTGCCTCTACGACATCGAAACCAGCTCGAATTAGGTTGATGTCGCTTAGTTTTGCAATGAACGTATCATTTCCTTTCATGGGGGGTACCTTTACTCAAGAATCTCCAAGACCTAACTGCCTAAACTTATGACATCCCGGAAGGCAACCACTGTAGCCCCTGAAACGAATACATTTTTATGGTTCTGGATACGATTCGGAAACATAACTGCAAGTTAGTGTACGACCTCAAAGTACAACTTTGGCTACGAACTACAAGTTCATGTACGAATTCAAATCGTACCGGACATCGTGCCCGGAATCGCACTTTGTGGTGTAGAAGTACGATTGCAAGCATGATTAAGGGGTACGATCGTACCTGGAATCGTACTGGAAGTCGTATCTAGAATCCACGTTGTGGTGCAAGGTACGATTCCAGGTGCGATTCCGTGCATCGTACCTTTAATCGTACCCGGAATCGTAGCTGGAGGCACCTGGTGGTGTAAAAGTGCGATTCCAAGTGCGATTCCGGTTACGTTTGCAGGTACGGTCGGAATCACACTCGAAATCGCACTTCTACACCACAACGTGCGATTCCACGTACGGTCTCGAAGAATGAATTCGTACCGGAACCTGTGCATGTACTTTGCAAACGTACTTGGTATCGTGTGCGAACCGTAAAAATGGTAATCCCGGATTTGCAAAGTCATAAGCCTAAACCCCAGACTCTCGCTTCTTCGACAGCATAACAACTTGTTAGACTGAGCTCTGGCATGAAACTTACGGTTTAGTTCGTGGGATTTGAGGGGTTGGGGACTAGAGGCTTAGTGGTTGAAGGCTAGGGGTTTCGTGGCCGCGGCACGAAGCACTCCGATGAAACGTCACTGGCTCCACCGGCAACACAGCAGCAAATGCGGCGCGCCAGCGCATCTCAGAGGGCCATTTTCGGGGGCTTAGGGATATCACGATAAGGAAACGGCATGGTGCGCAACTACTACGCTGGCAGTCGGGGTCCTTCATGCGCATCGGGTGCTCAAGAAGCTGCAAACAACGGGTTCGACGGAGCACTGCAGAATGCAGGGTTTCGGGCTCGGGAGATATCAAAACCCCGTGTATACTCAGTCCGGCCCAGGGGCTCCTTCGGGCATGTGACGAATCATGGAGACGTTCCCTTTTAGGGTTTAGTTTAGGGTTTAAGGGCTTATAGCTTAGGCGAAATAACAGTGTTTCTGTCCACTCGGCTTGTGGATCCCAGCATTCTGGCGCGCTCGAAGTTTCTGGGTTCAAACTGCTCTGAACTGAACTCCACCATGTATCGCATATCTGCCTCTGCATATTGTGTTGTTCCCTCGCTCCCAAGCACACTTGCCACCCAACAGTTTCTGCAGCGAAGACCTACCGGTAATCATCGTTATTGAGCTGTACCTGGCCTTGGTACGATGATGCCTGACTGTAAACGGTCGTGCCGGTTTTGAACCAGTGTACATGTAAACATCCGCCTGCGCGATTTTAAGATTTACATGCGTGTATCAGATGTGGCACAATCGTACACGGGTATGACAGGCTACACATAACTACAGAATGGTGAAGACTGTGCCTGACTACATAGGACTGTATATGAACGCAAGATTGGAAGTAATGATGACGCCGCACCCCGCAACCCCCCCTGCTGCCCGCAGGTGTGCGGATCAGACTTGTCGAACCCCCGCCTAGATCACACTGAACCCGGGTTCCGAAACCATAGACACAAAGTCCTACTAAGCGCTGAAAGTCTAAGACCCGTCTGCGTCTCGCAACTTTGTAGGTCGTGTATAAAAAAACCCTTCTCAATTTCCCAAAGCCGGAGCTTCTCAATTCAGGGCCATAACACTGCTGGAATCGCAGGTGCTGCCCTCGCCGAAGATGTAGCACGCAGTTTCCGGAAGACCTGCAGCGCATAGCACGCGATTTAAGGTTGAGGGGCTTTGAGGTTGCGTTCTTGCGGTGGCTTTGGGTATCGAGGTCCCTGGTTAGAGCTCGGGATATTACGTTTCAGGGCTTCCGGGCTTCGGCGTCTGGGGATTTGGGATTTCGGGCTGGGCGGTCCGGTCTTCGAAGGTTGGCTGAAAGCTCGAGTTCGGGTTACGAAGGCTGTCGGGCTTTTGTGCCCTAAACCCTAAACCCTGAACCCTAAACTGTTGAGGGCTTCGAAGATATTTGGAGCTTCTGAAGGGCTTTAAGGGTTCGGGTTGGTGGGCCGAAGCCCAGATGTGCAACCGAGGGCTTCAAGCGCATGCTTCGCCGGACTTCGGCAGGCCGCAAGCACCACATTCTTGGGGGACGGTAAGCTTCTATAATCGCACAGACACTGGAGCCTTCGCCCTAAACCCCGAACCCTAAACCCTAAATCAACCCTGAAGCCTTTTCCCTAAACCCCGAACCCTAAACCCTAAATCAACCCTCAAGCCTTTTCCCTAAACCCCGAACCCTAAACCCCCTAAAACCCGAGATCAACCCTGAACTCTGAACTCTGAACCCTAAACACGAAACCCGACACCCTCAAGCCGGAACCCCGACGTGTAGGGAAGCCCATCACGCTCTAAAACAGGCCTGGAATCTCCAGTCGGAAGGGCTGCAGCGTATAAAACGCCCTGGGCTCTCTCTTTAGGGTTCAGGGTTTTGGGCCTGCGATTAAACCCTAAACCCTGGACGAGGACCCAGGAGTCCTAAACTAAACCCTAAACCCCAACTTAGGACGTAGGGTCGAGGGTTAGGGGTTTAGGGTTTAAGTCTTAGGGCCTTTAGGGCTTTTAGGGCTTTTAGGGGTTTAGGGTTTAGGGCTTTAGGGTTTAGGGTCTCTCTCTCTCTCTCTCTCTCTCTCTCTCATCTCTCAAAGAGGCGATGCCCTCAAGATTCTCGAACTTCGAGGTTAGGCTTCAGGGGTGTGCGGCTTGGGGGTTTTCAGAGTTGCGGTTTCCGAGCTTAGGTCTTGGGTTCAGAGTTTGAAGAGATAGAAGTTTAGGAATTAGGAATTAAGGGCTTAGGGTTGAGAGTTCAAGCTTAGGGTTTAGGGTTCGGGTTTTGCATTGTTTTTAGAAGTTTTGGGGTCAAGCTGCCCTGTGCTCTACTGGATGAGGTGCGGACAAGACAAAGCCAAAGGAAATGGCAAAGAACAAAGCCTATGGGTACCTAGCGCACGACGGAGATTCTGCAGCTCTGCAGAGGCAGTGTGACAAAGATCTTGTAGTACAGCAACTACGGTGAGGGTGCTGCGTTATTCATATTGCCAGTATTCCTATTACTACTACTGCTACTACTACTACTACTACTGCTACTGCTACTACTACTACTACTACTACTACTACTACTACTACTACTACTACTACTACTACTACTAGTATCGACTAGCATATTATATCAGGGTCACCATTTCCAGTTCTGGAGTTCAGGTCCTAGCCCTGGATCACCCGAGATCAGAAAGAAGGCTCCGGGCCACCCCGCCAAAAGTTCTACTCTTACCTGTGCAGTAGGGAATGGAGGAATGGGGTACAATTATAACTACTATTACTACCATTCTTCCATTCCCTACTAACCAAAGGTAAGTAAACCCCCTCCTAAGCTTAAGCCCCGAATCCCAAAGCTGGGACCCTCAAGTTTCCCCCGAACTCTGAGTCTCTACATGAGGGTGCCCTGAGCCCGACTCTCAACCGACTCTGAACCCAAGAGCCTTAAACCCTAATGTAGGAACCTGATTAAGAAACCTTGGGCCCCTATGAGGGTTCCTTACATGAGCCCTACTACTTTGGGGCTTTACGCCCAGGGTTTCTTAATCAGGTTACTACATTAAACAAGAAACCCCAAAGGTCCCAGAGCCCAACTCGAAGCCAAAAGACGAGCCGGTGTCGGTGACCACACGAAAAGGGTCCTCACCTTCCTGGTCGGGCACACACTCGGTCACGTTGATCTCCATCAACTTGGCAGGCGTGGGGCTTTTCGGGTTTAGAGTTTAGGGTTGAGATTGGCGGGTCTTTGCACAAGTCTCCAGAAGGTTTAGGCAGATCTCAGAAAGTTTTCGTAAGGTCTTACGCAAATGCTCCAATGTCTTATAGGCATTTACTTGCTAGGGCTTGAGGGGTGGTCGTAGAAGCAGGGTTTCAGGGCACTGAGGGCTTTGAGGCCATGCAGCTTCGAGGTTCAACCCTAAACCCTGAACCCCTGAACCCCTAAATCCCCAACCCCGTTGTGCTTAAGGGTTCAAGCAGCCTTCGGCCTCAGAATTGCGCAAGTCCAGGGAGAACCGCAGAGATCTCTCACGTAACCCCTGAGATTCTCAGAGTTGCCAGCACTCAACACGTAACCTGTATGAACCTTTGATCAAAACCTTTAAACCTCCTCAAACTCTTACAAGAACCACCACACAACCAAAAAATACCAAACTGTAAGCCATAAACTCAAAACCCCACACCCTGCCCTAAACCCTGCCTAAACCCTAAACCCATACCCAGGTGCATATTGCATCTCGTAGTCGAAGTTGATCCGTCGGTTTCCCTCCTGGCTACAAATCTGCCCACTTGCAGCGGCGCATGCGTCATCACAGCTCAGACCTCAGGTGGACGTTTAGGGTTTAGGGGTTTTAGGGTTTAGTCAGGTTAGGGTTTAGGATTGCTCAAGCAATTTTAGAGCTTTTTCTCTAGCTTCATGTTCAAGGCTCTACGTCTTAGGGTGTCACGTGCCCTGCAGAATCCTCAGGTCAAGCTGGACAATAGGCTCCTGTTGGAACCTGATTGAGAAACCTCATATATTGGGGGTTATAGGGCGAGGGTTTCAATCAGGTTCCTACTTGGAGGTTCATGGGTAGTTATAAGTAGGGTTATAAGTAGAGCAGCTATACTTATAACCCAAATCAGGGGACTTATAACCCTACCGAAAACTACCCATGAATCTCCAAGTACATTATGCCAGAACCGTTGGGCAATTCTCAAATCCCTCTTGCGGTCATGATCTTAAGAGTCAGCTTTCGAGGATTCACAAACTTAGATAAGCAGGCAGAAAAGGCAAAGAAGTGGTGAGTGAATACTGGTACCATCAATCCTCAACCTTAAGCCCACCCTTGAAGCTCTAAACTCCTACTATCGAAGCCTTCAACAAGCAGAATAGTGTTCCTCCTGGTTTCTTGATCTAACTCTGGCATAATATACCCATACCCTAAAGCCCTCTTGTAATGACTAAGGCTCCTGTATTTCGTAGCCGGGCAACCAGCTGCTCCTTTGACCCACCCGGCATGGACCTGTCGTAGCAAAAGAAGCCTTGGAAGCTGTGCCGATGGCGGCTTCTGGGTAGAAGGGTCCTTGGAGAAACCCTGAAACCCCAGGAACCCCACAGCCCTTAAAACCCGTAAAGGCACCATAACGGTTCTAAAGGGCTTCTGAAGGTGTTCTATGGCGATGAGGGTTTATGGCGTTCCAACGTGGTAGCAGCTTCTCCTCCATGCCTTTCGGTGCCTGGCAGGTCCCGACAGTTAAAATCCTGACCACGAACCGTGGCACTTCGAAGGCTTGCGAGCTCAGGGCTTTTGAGATGTTGCTTAGCATTGCGAGGTTCTGGTTCTGCAGTTTTTGCAACTATGGGCTGAAAAAATTGAAGCTTCTGTAAACCCTGAAGGCTTCTTAAACCCGCCGGGTCGCACGAGCAGTCGCAGGCTCCAGGCCAGTGCCCTCGCAGGCTCCATGGCCACAGTGTCCCCGCCCCCGGCGCCCTACCGAAGCTAAGGCATCCTGGCAGGGGGGGGGAGGGGGCCTTCGCGAAACATCCGAAGCTGCGGAGGACGCGCGGCACGGATGAAACCGAATCTTAGGGTTAGGGTTTAGGGTTTAAGTTTTTTTAACTCCTTTTTCCCCCCGGTCAGATCCCGACCGGAAGGCTACATAAGCCAGGAGTAGGATTTAAAGTTTAGGGTTTAGGCCTCAGGGCAAAAATGGGCAAAGAAAAACCTAGAGAGGACAACAAGTGGATTTCATGTTGGGCTCATGGATTCCGATCCCGCAGGCTGAACGCCCGTAAGCTCACGCCCCAAAATCCCAGAGCCCAAAACACGAAGCATAAGCCCTAAGCCGGCGGGATCTCAGGTTTCGGGCTGGAGGCATTGCACTCAGAATTTTTTGCTGCTTGGTGTTAGGGTCGAGGTTGAAAGTCGTGGCTCCAGGGTGCAGGTTTTGACACGCAGCGTTTAGCTCGTAAACCCACGGATTGAGAGTATGAGAGCCGTGGCTTGTCCACAACACCATCCTGACCCGTGGTACAATGCTCTTGGGGGGATACTATCACCTGGTTTTATTATCGGGACCAAAATGCCTTAGTGCACAAGACTCAACCTTCGCATCGTGCAAAAACTTGCACGGCTGTGGGTGCAGCGTTTTGTCCGCTCGGCTTTTGTGAGACAGACGTGCGACGGGGCACGGACTCAGGATTTTGCTGCTTGATGCTGTGGTTCCACTGGGCTCTTTGTCGGCTCGTGGGGGGCATGCGGGACTGGTAGCGGTTCGAGTTGCGCAGCTGGCAAACCAGCTTGGATTCGTGCGGTTCAGGCTTAAGAGGGTGTGGGCCTAGGTAGGCCTGCCTAAGCCCGAAAATTAGCCCCAAACCTTCGAAACTAGTTAGGGAACCTAAACACAAAGTAAGTTTTCACTAAACACTGAACTATACTGTAGCTGTAAACTATACTTTTTACTGCGTCAGGAGGCTTAATCAATTTGGATGTAAGTATCTTTATCGGGGCTGTAAGTAAATGTAGGCGTGAATCCGTACTTACGAAGTCCACTGATCCTTTTAGGCCACAAGGCCCCACGCAGCACTACAAGGCCTTAGAAAACGGTGCATTTGCTCGGTTTCGGGTCCGAAACTCGAAAACCTACGTAAACCCTAAGCAACCCCTAAGCTCTCAACCCTGAGGGTTTCAGGTTGCTTTAGGTTCCAGGCCTCGCCTCAGTAAGCCGGCTAGCTTCGAAGTAGGGTGGCGAGGTTTAGGGTTTAGGGTCATGGGTTCAGGGTAGAAAGTCGGAGGGGCACAAGGAAATGGCGCACCCTTTGTGGATCCATGGAAGCACAAGCGTTTTGATTTAGAGCAACACATATTAGCAACCCCGTACCTCCAAGGCTTACCACTGGTCGGGTGTTGGGCTCAGTATAATTGTTCCGGCTTGGGGTTTTTGTTGGGATTCGAGGTTTCGCTTTCAGGCTGTCTGGGTACAGGCCCTGCTTGGGCTTCGGGGTTCGGGGCTTCGGAGTTTGCACTGTGTGTGCCACAGCTTCCTGCGGGCGCCCGCGCGAATTTAAATGTACACACGGGTGAAACTGCCTAAACCCTACGCCCCGAAGGAGCTTTGGACTTCGAATTGATGAACCTTTCATCGTGACGCCCGAAGCCCAAAACTGATTCACGCAAGGTACTCCTCACCCAAAGCCCGATAAAACTGAAGACGCCACTCCAAGGTCGCGGCGAGTTGGGCCTTGAATTTCGACCTCTGAACCCTACCTTAGCCTACCAAACCCTACTTTTTTGTAGGGTTCATATTATAAACCCTAATATGGAATTTATAGGGACCCTACTTTTTGTAGGTTTTGGTAGGTTAAGGTAGTGAAGGAAGCCCAAACCGGAGCCCGTTCCAGCTGCTATAACTAATTCCCGCAGTGCTTAGACGGGACCAACCTCGGCTTCCCTGCAAGTCAGACACCCTACGCCCATAACGATCAATCCCTGCAAGTCCTACAGACCCACCTCAAGAACCGCTTCGCTACCATCTAAACATTTCCAGTCCTGGTCATTAACAGCATGATAAGCTCCAAAACACATAATGTAATTTGGCTACTGCCCCCCTCCCATACAGTAATAGTCTATAGTCCTGATATATCTGTGTTATGAGTATTATCCGACCGTTACTTGGCGGGGGCAGTACCCAAAATGTAATCACCTCCTGCTTTCTTGGAAAGCCTGCCGAGCCGAATCCCTCCTCGGTCCGAAACCATTAACACGACCCAGGAAAAGCGTGCGAAGTCTACCCTGCGAAGCTAAACTCGAATGACGAAACCCCCGAAGCTTCAACCTGCATCCTCAACACTACGCCCGACCCCCTCAAGAGGCCGACGAAGCTAAACCCTAAAACCCTAAACCCCAAAACCCCAAAGCTAAGCTCTCTGCACTAAAAGTCTTTACCCCCCAAAGCATCGGCTGTGGTTAGCGCTCCGACGGTTCCCGGCTAAAGTCGACTTCAGGGTCTCTAGGCGCAGGGCGCCCCAGACGCCTCCACTTTGGCTTTGGGCTGAGAGTTTCAGAAAATAGGGGAGCCTAATATAGACCCTAAATACTAGGATCCTTATTGTAAGGGCCCCGAAATAAGGTACCCCTTGTTTCGGAAACTCCCAATTCGGGGCACGGCTTTGTAAGGGGGCTGCATCGTTGCCTCTTGGGCTTTAGAAGGCGTCTCTGAGCTTTCTGCAAGACTGCAGTTCTCGCGATTACAAAGCAGTCGGCTTCTGTCAGAGCTGGCGAGTATTGAGCTGGAGACTAGCGGGGGTCTTGTTCTCAAAATCGAAGCCATTTCGGAAGCGACATCCAAGGTCAGTTGCGTCATGGAGAACAGCTATAGTGACAATGTAGAGCATTCGAGATTGATTAATGGGTCCAGGGCCCCGTTCTTCGAAGGGTCCCACCTCCAGAATGAGCAGCTCGTGTGAAGTTCCAAGCAAGTCGGAAAGGGTTTCACGGGTATACATACTAGATCGTGATTCGGAGTCTTGCACGACGTACATCCCTCCAACTACAGCATTACGGTTTCGATTCCTGGGCTGTCTGGCAAAAACGATTCAAAAAAATGATAAAGTTCATCTAAACCCTAGACGCTAATCCCTGAACTAAATCCCTCATAGGGCTGGAAACCTGGAGGAATGTCTGCGAAAAGCCCTGCCTCCGGACAAACTTGCAGCTTGGGCCTGCACGGCAAAAACCAGGAGCCAAATAGTGTGTAGGGTTTTGGTGGTTTTTTGGGTTTAGGACTTAGGGGCTCCGGGTTCATAAAACGCTCTAGGGTTTGAGAGTTTTGGGTGTTAGCCCCAGGCTGTGGTGCACAGAGTGTTGGAGACCTAAGGCTGCGGGGGTTCCGCACACCCTTGTCCTTTTAGAAATAATAGACAGAGCCCTATACCTATATCCCTTGGTAGGAATTATTTAAGAAGCTCTACTAGCCGGTCTGTTTATTCTTTTGGGGGAACCATGAAAAAGGACAAGGCCGGTTCCGCAGTTGAGGAAAACCGATCTAAAGCCCTAAACCCTGCCTGGACCCTAAAGAACCTACTTTTCTGGGCTCCCTCATATGATTTCTTTATATACGTCGTTAGGTTATTTACGGTCCAAGTGGAGTTTAGGGTTCTCGGTACCGGTGCCCCTTCTGGCTCCTTTGCTTTGCTTCAGTACTCTGCAACCTGCACAGTAGCTGCAGAAGCCCTGAATCCTCAGCCCAAAACCCAAGAACCGTGTACCGCCAAAGCCTCAAACATCGAAAGCCCCAGAACCCAGGGTTTAGGGTTTAGGGTTTAGGGTTTAGGGTTTAGGGTTTAGGGTTTAGGGTTTAGGGTTTAAAGCCCGAAATCCTGAAACAAACGCAGCCGGCAAACCCGGGACCTCGAAAGCTTGCGATTGAAGGCTCTTGGGCTTCTGGAGTTTACCTATAGTCTCCATTGTAGTTCCTTTTTTTGGTTAACCAGTTTTATGGTTAGGATCCTATAAAAGAGATGTTGGTTAACCAAAAAAAGGAACTACAATGGAGACTATAGGTAGGCCCCCGGAGCGACCATGCACCCAAGGCTGAGCCCAGGACTCCACAGGCGGGATCAACCTCGCATGGAGACCAGGTTCCAGAAAGACAATACGGGGAACCTTTGTCCAACTATTCGGTTTCAATAAGGGGTCCCGAAAAGTGGCAAAAGGGCACTACTCAGGAACCTAATCTGAGAGTTGGGTAGCGGCTTGAGCTGTGGAGTTGGGCTTTAGATTGGTTCGGCGCGTTAGATGTTCCGGGTTTAGGGTGTGGGGCTGTGTGTTCGGAATAAGGACCCCTAGGTATATACCCTTAATATAGCTATTATATACCTATTATATAGCCCATTATAGGGTAGGGGTCCCCATTTTGGGTCCCTCCTTCGGTCTGATGCACTTTAAGGCATTGGGGTGTGGGTCCTCGGGCCTCACGGCCTGGGCATGAAGTGTCACGACTCGGGTTTCAGAGTGTAGGGTTTAGGGTTGCGGGGCTTTGGGGTTAGGGGTTTAGGATTCAGGGTTTAGGGTTTAGTGTCAATGCCCCAAACAGTGCAGACACAAAGGGATCCTCAAGCGGGGTCCCTACATGGCTGTATGGATGCGCCGATAGACTCCAGAAGCCTCTACTATCAACTCTTCCTTGCCCAGCATTCTTGGGGAACTGAAGATTAAACCTTGGGGTTTGGGGCATAATATGCTGCACTTGGCATAGGAACCCTAAGGGACAGAATAGGAACCCAAACCTAATATAGTACCCTAAATAGTAGGATCCTTTTTTTTCGGGTTTAGGGTGTAGGAGTTTGGTAGTTATCTGATCTGGGGTTAGGGTGTATTATGTTGCAAGGGTGTCGGATTTTGAGCTTCGGGTTTAGATCCAGCGTGAGAACTGGAGGGGGTACAACGCGAAAGTACACCGTCAA